ATTGGTATTAACTCTGCCACATGGAGGAGGAATTAATCCTATGGAAATGCATATTTGTAACAGGACCTTGTAGCTATCACAAATCCAGAGCCGTGCACGTTCAGGGTGCTTTGGGTCTCTGAGTACAGCCGTGTTAATTTTCAAACAAAAACCTCCAGCTTCCGGCAACTTCCACAGTAGCATTTCCAATGTTTTTTAAACAGCTATTAATGCAGTCAAGCTGTGTTTTTTTCCCTCCTTCTCTGTGCAATCATCTGCTCAGTGGTGCACTCCAGCAGCAGTAGCAGGAGCCAGAGGAGTGGCCCGCTGTGGTTGATGGGACACAGCCCCGCTGCAGGAGCCACATCTGGATCAGGGTTTGGGAGCACCGGGATGTCAGGAGGGAGGGCACAGAGCCCCATCTGGATCAGGGTTTGGGAGCTCTGCGATGTGGGGAGGGAGGGCACAGAGCCCCATCTGGATCAGTGTTTGGGAGCACTGGGATTTCAGGAGGGAGGGCACAGAGCCACATCTGGGTTTGGGAGCTCTGGGATGTGGGCAGGGAAGGCACAGAGCCCCATCTGGATCAGGGTTTGGGAGCACCGGGATGTCAGGAGGGAGGGCACAGAGCCACATCTGGATTTGGGAGCACTGGGATTTCAGGAGGGAGGGCACAGAGCCCCATCAGGGTTTGGGAGCTCTGGGATGTCAGGAGGGAGGGCACAGAGCCCTGCATGGGCTCCCCCTCCCTCAGCACCCCCAGCTCCCTCAGCCCTGCTCTGCTCACACGCCCCCAGCCAGCGCTGATGCTCCTCTTGGGCACATGCTGCATGGCCTGGGAGCAGAGCAGCTGCTAAGTTTATGGAGAATAGAGGCAGCACCATGGTACAGCAGGTATTTTCACTTTTATTTTCACTTTTATTTTCACTTTTATTTTCACTAGAAACTCTTGGTTTTTAGTCAAGCCAGGGTAATTCTTATAAGCAGCTGCACCACTGCATGCAAGGCTTCTAAGCAGTGTTTTGATGCTTAAATCTGAAGCAGGGCAAGCTATGGGGAATCGTGGTTTTGCTAGATGTATCTGAGCCCTTAGAACAAGCAGGTTTGCAGAGAAACGTTGCATTTTTCCTTCTTTGTTTCTGTGCCCTAAGGATACGATGCAGTTTGGCTCATTTAACTACAGTACAGGAGGCTTTCTCTAAATGTGAAATATCTCTTGCCAAAGAAACAAAATGCACCAAACAGAAAATACAGCAAAACAAACAATAAACTGTGAGTTCAACTTCAAAACACAGGCAAGCAGAAAGGTTTTCATTGAATACATTTTTATGCAGCAAATGCGTTTTTAAGAAAAAGAAACACTGCTTAAGAAATGTTTTCTCTGCTCTCTCCTTTGTGTACAAACATAACATGCTTGCCTTACTATGTTTTGACACTTTTTATACTTTTCTTAATTACGAAATCTTTTCAGAGGAGGAGATGCTGAAAAGTCATCTGAGATAGTAGGAGCAGTTTAAATTCTAAGCTTTTCTTCAGATGGGATAATATGGATGAAATAGGAGAATCTTTACTTACCTACATCGTTGGAATCCTTTTTTTTTTTTGTTTTGTTTTTTAGAGTTCAACATTTAACCAGAAAGCAATAAATTTGATTTTATATACTGCCACGTAAAGCATATTTTTCAGTTGAAATGTGGTTTTCATTAAGACTCGGGCCAGAACATTTAGCAGAGCCTGACTGTCTGCCATCCTTTGTTCTCCTTGCTCTTGCCAACAACCATTTTTTTAAAAAAACATGCAAAAAGTGAGCATTAAGGGGTCATTTAATCTTAAAGATACTTGGAACTGAGTCTGAAGGGACAACTTCTGTTCAGCCTCTCCTGCCTGGGTGGGGTTAAGCCATGCCTGTGTACTGTCATGCACAGCTTTGAAATTACCCTGAGTTCATAGGTTAATTTAGGATCAATATTTCCTCTTGCATTTAGTGCTATTTCATATTTTCAACTTAATGCATTAGAATTTGTTATTTCTTTTATTCATTTCAGTTCACTGTATTTTAAAGAGTACAATAAAGGAACATTTTAGGTGATTCTATTTAAAGAAGTTTTGGTTCCTTAAAATCTGTGTATCTCTTGTGAAGTCTGGAGTTTCCATCAACCACATGTAGGCACAAATGTGTGATAGCTGACACTTCATTGTTCTTGACAGAAATTAGTATTTTGAACAATTGGCTTTGCTATTATTAACCAAATAAATAGTAAAGAATTTGTTTCAGCATACAGGTTTTTATATTACATTGCAATACCTTGTCTGTTGAATTAATTATAAATAATAAATTCACTCTAATTTTAAAGGTTAGGAAAAGCTTCAGTAGTCACTTATTTTAAGGGATGAACATCTCAGATTTATTGTCACTATCATTTTAAACTTAGGGCCTGCAGTAGCATGTGCAAGTTTAATTTCTTTATGTCCCCTGTCTTCCAACAATTAAATGAACCTGCAGAGCTTGCACTGATAATCTTGTCTGTCAGTTTTCTGCTGTAAGCACAGTGGGGTTGGTTTCTTCAATGGCAAGGCTGTAAATCTCTGAATATGTACAAGTTAGTTAAAAAAAAAAAAAAGAGATAAATCCCTGACCCTTTGTTATTTACTTATTAATTGGGTCTCAGTTATTAATAGACTTTAGTTGAACAAGTCTAATGGAAGAGGTGGAAGAGTCTCAGCATTGTGGAGGTTCTGAAATTGCCTGCACAATTCGCCATTCTGTGATAAATCTAAAAAGTCTGGAGTTGCCGGTAAAAATAATGGAAAAGTTCAACCCTCTTAATTAAATATGAGCTGTAATTAGCGCTAGGTGTGGACGCTTTGAATATTAATTGGGGTCCTCGCGGAACTGCTGTCAAGGTTAATGAGGAACAGTGGGGGTCTCAGCAACATCTGGTTTAGGGCTGGGGGTGGCACAAAACCCTTTGGATGAAATGCACCTGGACATCCCCCCTTGGTCCCTCTGGTGCCACTGCTGCTCTCTCTGAACAGCAGCTGGCTCTGGTGTCGTGTTCAGCATCTGACAGGAAGGAATGGCTCAAGGACCAGCCCCAACCAGCTCCTGTGCTTCAAAACCAGCACAGTGAAAATGCTAACAGAGGCAGAAGCTGGGTTTGCTTTTGTTCCTCCTCACCCCTTGCTCAAGTCCCTCCTGAAACAGCTGATTAAAAAATTTAAGGTTGGCTGCCTCCCACACAAGTTTTAAAAGTGCTTCTTTAACATTTAATGAATGTCTCTGGTGTAATCCAGTCATTCCTGGGTTTTGCTTCATCTGGATTTAAATTTTTTTTTAATAGTGAAAATATTAGGTAAAAGAAATAAGAAAGGAACAGGACCATTTTAAAATTAGACACATTTACAAGAGGTTTTAACCTCCACAGAAGTTTAACAGGGCCAGTTTCAGTGCAGCATTAACCTTGCTAAATTGTAGATATACAAACAAATCTTAGTGACTTAACCCTGTGAGGTCAGTAAATGACACTGGTTTCCTGCTAAAGATGGATGAATGAAGCAATGAAAATCTCTTGTTCAAGGCCATACATTAAACCAGCAGCAAAAATGGGATTTAAATTAGAGAGGGCTTGATTGCTAATATAAAGTTCTAATTTTTTCAGACACACTGAGTGCCTCTTACAAAGGAAAATTCAGTTTTCTCTTTTAAGCCTGTCGAGCACCAAGACTTAACTCCTGTGTGAATTCTTAAAAGCTCTTGAGTTTGGGATGAGTTGAGGTCAGAGAGCTGATGTCTGAATTAGCTGAAATTGGCTGTAAATGCCCTTAAGTACAAAGTGCAGAAGAATGTCTTTTATTCATCCACCCTATTTTAAATTGGGAAATCAAGGACTGATGAGTAGGAATAAAATCCCTGCAATAGTTTTGGACAGGTGCTTGTACATGCGTTGGTGGGAGAATGATGGAGTAGTTTGAAAGGTAATTAAATTTTGACTGAGTATTTTTATATTCCTTGCTTATTAGTGGGATAATTTTATTTTGTAAATTAGTTTACCTGAGGTTGGGGTAGTCCCTGCACTAATGGCCTCTAATTCTGTCTCAGGCAACTTCTCATTCTGGACATTTTTTATAAAGGTTGACAAAGATTGTAATTTCCTCTTCTAGAATTAGTTTTGGTATGGGGTAAACATTTAGTCAGAAGTTGTTTAATTGGTAAATGAACAGGCTTGGCTATTCTTTATTATATCAAATGGAAAAATGGATCTCTTTATAAAGACATGAGGCTAGTGTTATTAATGTTATAGGCTAACTGTGATACAGAAATGAAATACTGTTGTCTTCAAATGTAAAACTTTTAAAGTTCTTAAATCTGTGTCTCTTGACATAGAGTTTTTTCCTTGATGTTATTTAAGGTTTTGAACTTGATGCACTTGTAGATTCAAATACTTAATATTTTGACTAGATCTCATTACTATTTTGCATTTGTGGCATGTATGAAGGATACCTCAAAGTATTCTGAATATCTCAGGGCATTACTGCTCATAGGTATTTTTTAGTGTTTGTTAACAGTATGCATCCAAATCCTGTGTTGCCTATATTGTGTTCTGTAAATGGTCAGTCAGAGTGATCACAGACTGGGGGCTGAGCTTACCCCAGCTCTGTGCTGGCAGTTGTGCTCAGGCACCTTTGGAACGAACTGGCTCTGTCCCTATTGCTTGTCTGAGTTGAGGCATCATTAGTGCAGGCAGATTTCCCTGACCTTTCCTGCCTAAAGACTGGTCTGCAATTATCCAGTGAGCAGCCGATTTGTTTGTCTAATTGTAATAATATTTAATAGGGTTAGCAGGATGCATTTAATGCAGACAAGAAATATCCTCCTCAAGAAGCAGCCACTGTGCCCTTTCCAGGCCAGGATGCTCTCTGCCTTACGGGTGCAGGACCTCCGCTTATTTTATCTCACGCCACGTTTCTTCCTTTTTTATTATTATTATTATTATTGTATTTTTTCCCTTTGATTTCCACAGGGTAATCAGGAAGCTACAGCACCTCCTGACACAATGGCACAGCCTTATGCCTCAGCCCAGTTTGCTCCACCTCAGAACGGTATCCCTGCAGAATACACAGCCCCACATCCGCATCCAGCTCCAGACTACACAGGCCAAAGCACTGTTCCAGAGCACACGTTAAACATGTACCCTCCTGCTCAGACACACTCTGAACAGAGTGCACCTGACACAAATGCACAAACTGTCTCCGGCACAGCCACAGTAAGTCAAGGTTACTGCTCTTTCTAAAGCTCTGTGTTTCGTGTGTGTTTATCAATAATGTTTTTTCCCTTGACACGCTTCGTTTGCATCAGCTTTAGGCACCGTGTTCAGGTTGAAAGTCTGTCAGAGTTTGCTGTTGAACCTGGAGAATGTGTTTTCACTAGTTTTGCAGCTTTGTAGAACCTGGAGTTTCATTTTCAGTGGTGTTAGACAAAATGATTAATAGCCAGCCCATGAATCACAGCATAAATTTTAATTAAGTCCAATATGGAAAAACATTGCACATGAGTGTTTGTAGGCATTCATTTGCAGGGCCAAAGAAAGCAACGAAAAAACCCTAGCCAGACTCATTTGATTATTTTTATGACCTCTGTGTTTTCGACACAAGCAGTTTTAATAAAAGTATTACTTGAATGGTCCTGTACAAAATTTACTGTGTGAATTAGTATTGTGAAGAGCATGTCTGCAATATTGTATTTTCTAGAGAGCTTGTTTGTGCAGCCATTACCCAAGCTGTGTGTGGATCTGTGCTAAACAGAGCAGAAATGATAGACTTTCCGTCTATTTGATTTATATGTGAAGTTCTCAAGTGTCATGAATTATGCAAGAGGCTCCTTGGATGGCTCTACCTTGTAATTTAAGTCACAAATTTCACACACTGATAGTTTAGTGTTTCTGTCTTAATTCTAGAGTGGGACCCAATATATGCAGCGCCAGGAGCTGGCAGGTTTGAGGCATCACCCAGCCCCAGTGGTACATGTGCAGGAGGCACAGAACAGTGCTGGAAGCATCTCCTGGCTGTCCTCATCCTTGCCTCAGCCATCCTCCGTGCCTCAGTTTACCTCCCCTTCCTTCCTGGCCCATATCCAGCCTAAAAGGTTTCATACATTAGGGCAAGAAGAAGAGGAAAGCACATTCTCTTAAATGAGCTCTGCAAATTTATGTTTATTGCCATGCCACTAATTTCTTTGTATGGGTTGTGCAAGAAAGGAAAGCAATAGCAAAGGCACCAAGGAATATTCTTTGCTATTATAACAGAGAAATCCTTGTGAATTAATTAAACATTTTTGTGGTTTATGCAGTAATTTCGTTTGTTTGTTTGTTTTATTTCTAACTTGGTAACTTTTTATTGCCCTGAGTTTCTCTTTTCTCCAGTACTGGGAGAAAGTTTAAATTGAAGAGCATCCTATTTGTTGGTATCTCATAGCATTCTTTGCAGCTCTTCTGTGTTTCCTCTTACCCATCTCTTTGCTAAGTTAAATTCTTGGTTCTTTCCAGCTTTTAAAACTTGCTTCCATAATCATTTTTGATTGTTGTCTAACTTTTGTCAAATACCACTGTCATTGGTTTAGAGCAGGAATCCTAAACTGAATATATACTGCTGAAGAGATTGGATATTGACTAAAAAGATAGAATTTCCTCCTGTACCCTTTTTGTTCTTTTCTGTTCTCTGATTTTGCTTGGTTTTTGTGACCACTGCTGCAACTTGAACAATTCCCTGTGATGGCCAGCTCAGCCTTTTCATGTTTTGAAACTGTTTCTGTTCAGTCCTGAAGTGAAATCCTGACAGTGCTAAAATCAATGGTAAAAGACCCGTCGATGGGAGTGGGACAGGAGCTCATCCCTCATCATTTATTGCTTTCAATTGATTGTGTTTCCTCACCCCGTTTTGATTTTTCAGTTTGAAGAAATGTCACTCACTTTATCAGAGAAGTCAGGGATGTGTTTTCCCAACATTTTCCATAGCAAAGGGTGGTGAAAAGACAGTTTGGATTGTCTGCAATGCCCTTATCTTCTTCAAGTGCTCTATTCAATCCCAGCTCTAGCAAATCCAATGATTCCGTGCTTCTGATATGCAAAGAGGCTTTACTGTTATTTGGTTTTGTGTCCTTTGCTATCTGCTCTCACTTGCTTTTTGCCTTCCTAGTATCCAACTTGTATTTTACCTGTCAGACACCTTTTCCCTTCTGTTTCCCCTTGGAGTGAATTTCCATTCTCTGCAGGATAACACTTCAATTCCTCTAACCTGTTATATTCAAGGAATGTGGTATAGTTATTTGCTCTCTTTATTGTGGATCCTTTCCTTGCATTCTGCTTTCCTTTCTTATTGAGGAATGGACAGAACATTTTGAAGTAGCTCTCATGCTGTTTATAAAGAATTCGATTTCCTGCCTTTTAACTTTAAGGTCTGTTTGAGAAAGTTTTAGTACGGTTTGGTTTTTAACAAGATATTTTTTTCCAAATTGTAATGCTATATTGAAAGCTGTGGATGCTCTCCCTCAAGAGCAGTGCAATGAAAAGGCAGGTTTCTAATAAATGTGCTCATCTATGTATCTGCACTGACATTTAACACACTGTTCACCAGTCAGGTTTACAAATGTACAGACAAATATTGCTTGCACAATTTAATTACAGGTACCTAGGTTTAAAATCTGTTATTCTGGGTGTCATTAGCCATTGTTCTTGGCAAACTGTGGTGACTTTATAAATAGATATGTGCAGATGGATCCCAGGCAGATTTAACATGGGCTCTGTAACATTATTAGGGTCCACCTCTGTACTCTATAGGTTTAATAATATAAGTTTTTATTATGAAAGAGAGCTTCAACAGCACTGTGTCAACATTGTACCTACATGTGGTCTTTATTGTCAAAACAGAAAAAATATGGGTTTTTTTCTAATTTCTACTAGCTTTGAGAATAGTTGATTTCCAGTTGAAGAGTTTTAAGAGGAATTGTGTGGGGACATGGAGGCATTTGTTTGGTAGGTCCCAATGGTTTTATTTAGTTTCCTTTCAGTAAGCTGTTTATGACATGCATTTGAAAGAAGAATAATCAACTGGCCAATCATTCATAAAATAAAGCTCTTGTGATTAAGGACAAGCTGTTGGAGGCAAGACCAGTTTTTGAATTTTCTCACTCACAGATGTATGAACATTGGAAGCTGGATATAGCATTAGAAAATGGATCTTAAAATTTTGCAATGGGAACCTAAAAACCTGCAGGGCAATTGTCTAAACTGTAGAATTACTACCAGAAGTGTCTTAATCTCCTCCATGAAGGACTGAATCCATGCTGAGGTGAGATGGATGCCAGGCTATGTCTGAGTGTCCCAAGTTCGTTCTTCTTGTCTGAAAGAATCACTCACTGAAACTGGAGCTCACACTGGGTCTAGTGCCACCTAAACCCCAGCTGTAGGGGGATAGAATACAAGAAAATAAAGGTAGTGTAGAAAGTAATCTCACCCCTAAGGAGTTGCAGCTGGGCCAATTAGCAAAGATCAGGAACAGGCCTGACTTTACCAGGCCACAGCTGTAAGCAATGAGAAGCAGAGTGCTATAACAGAGTGGGGTGGCTGGGTGAGAAGGGAACTGGAGTCAGTGGCTGCTTTGGGAAGGAGAAAGAGTCAGTGCTCTGAGGAGCTACCCATGAGAAACACCGAGAAGGTGTGGAACTGTTGTAATAAGGAGACAACAGTATGGAACCCCTGCAATAGGATGATAATACCCAGTAAAGGGAAAAATAATAAAAATTAGCTCATTCTGTGCAACTCCTCTAGAATCCTCAACTGCAGCCCAGGGTGTGATCCTGGGCCCAGCCCAGCATCCCCATTTTCCACACACTGAACAAAATTCCAATCATCAGCTTTATGGCAGGTTTGCAATTTTGTGCAGAGTGCTCTTGTAATTCCTGTTCACAAGTACTTCACGTACTCTTGGACACGCTCTTGTACTTGTAGAAAGTGTCTTTCCCAGTGACCAGTTTTAATCTATTTAGATAAAATAGTGTAACACAGTATTCTGTCAGGGTAAGTGCTGGAACGAGATGTGCTCAGATCGCATGTGCAGGGATTGCTAATTCTGACTGTGGTGCTGAAAAACAGGAGAAGAGGGACAGAATTAAAGGGTAGTAAATGATTAAAGACAGGGTGATTTAGCTGAAATAATATGAAATTATCAGTAGGTAATAAAACACTGTCAAAAGTTACTTTGAGTCTTCTCTGAGCATATCTGGTTTTCATCTTTTTGGATCCATATGTTTGTTAACTTTGAGTAAGGAGGGAATGCATCTGAGTATATGCCAAATCAATAATCAAGCAGCAGTGGGTTATTTAAGTGCTGCTAGACTTTTGGAGTTGCATAGCATCGAATATGTCTTAAGGCATTAACCAAAATACTAAATGGCTTCTTCCTAGAAGGTTGGATCTATGAAAAGTATGTCACAAAGTTATGCTAAAAGTGACATGTCTGATGATGTTGTAGAGTGGTTTGGAGTGCTACTTTAAATAGTTATATGTATTAAAGTATTTTTAAGTAAGACAATTAATCATTTTATGAAATCAGCCTATACCTGTGTACATATACAGATGCAATTGTATTGTATATAAATTATTCTGAGGAAAACTTGTTCCGTTTTTGCCTGTGGCTTTCCTGCACAGCTTCTGTTGATGACAGCAGGAGATGTGTGTGTAAATAAAAAGGTCATTAGCTGGGCACGTGTAAGGGAGCAAGTAACAGTAAAGTAAATGTTTCTCTAGTATTTCCTGTTCTAATGTATTACACTAATAATGAAAGTGACTATCATGGTGTGGTAAGAGCTGAGGTTGCAGCAATGCTCTGTGGTTTATGTGTGTATATAAAAAATGTGCTGCTTTCAACTTAATTCTACTTTTGCAAAAACTTGAGATGATTGTGCAGTCCTGTTTTGAACTGACCCTTCACCAGGCTTCAGAGGCTGAGAAGTTGTGTGTTTGGACAGGAGATCTTGAGGGAAAAGGCAGTTTGCTTGGAGGAGTGATCCATCCATGTCTGAAGTGCTGAGCATCAGCAGCCAGCATGGCATTGGGGGATGCAGGGCTGTTCAAGCCTTGTAGAAGATGTGCAGTGCTGAGGTGTGGGTTGTCTCTGGCCTGGGAAGATGATAAGGAATTTTCCTTCTGACTTCGCAGTTAGAACTAAATTTCAACTGGGTTACTACCAAAATTCCTTTGGTGGCATCCAC